TAGGGGTGTTTGTTTTTTGTTAAAGTAGCATGGGGGAATCTTTGTCTTGTGGGATTTGCAAGATCTAAGGTTTTTGCAAATGGGAGTGGGATAAAAATGCAAGCAACAATGTGGGGATGGGTATTGTGGGGCGGGATGGGAGTGGGATTAAAAAAGTAGCTCACTTGCTTGCCTCACTTGTTCTCTCCTCTGGGGAAGTATAATCAATCAGAGCTGCTGTAGGTAGAGCTCTCTTCCCCCTTTGCTTACAGACCCAAAGCCATTCTCAAAGGAAGGAGCTTAAGAGCTCAGTGTGGCTCTGACCCCTCCTCTCCTGTGAGGAAAGGGGGCAGGACAGCTCCTCTGCTCCTCCTTGCATCACCTCATCTGGGGATGGGCATTGGAGGGCTGAAGACCCCCTGGAATTCCCCACCTCCTGCCTGGAAAGAGGAAAGGGGTGAAAAACCCCAGAGGAAACAGAGCTGAGGCTAGAGGGGCTGAACTTATTGCTGGGAAGGAGACTGGCAGGTGTGTGGCTGAGAGCTCTTCAACAGGGCCAAAATCATCCTACCCAAGACATTTGAAAGAGTGGGCAGCATTAATTCTCGCTTACATTCTAGGGATCGGCAGGGGGCTACAAAAATCAAAACAAGCCCCCAAAAGCACAATTATAGTATTTAAAAAAACATACATGATTTTTGGGTGTCTCATGATTTTTGATCTCTTGAGGTTGGCAATACTACATTTACATCTGTGTAAAGCACTCCCTAAATCTGAATGCTAGCACTTTGCACAGGTGATGGGAAGCAGGGACAGAGCAGTCCCTGAGACTAAATGCTGCAGTTCTGTCTGGACCTTACATGAGCCATATCCTGAGGAGGAGAAGGGAAGGTCCCTTCCTCCCTCGCCTTTCCCCACTTATGGCCACATACGACCAAGCAGAATTTGTCCCACAGACTTGTTTAGAAGCACTGTTCCTTTGCTCTTTCCCCTTTGATAACTTGGGAACAGAATTGTTCAGGAGATAAAATTTTCTACTGAAATACTCAACTTTTTGGTTTAAAGAAATCAAAATTTGGCATATTTCTATTCTGAAATGCTGCCAGAAACCTCATGGGAGTTGTAGTTTGGGTGCTTCATACACCCATTCTCTTCTATAGACCTGGCCCCCTTGTCAGGCTACATTTCCCATGACATATCCAGCTCTCGCCTTTTGGGGCGGGGAGGTGGTGCATCATGGGACATGTAGTCAGGATGGGGACTCCAGCCTATAGAGCAGAATGGGGACATGAAGCAACAAAACTCCAACTCCTGTGGGGCACTGTGTCAGCATATCTCATCTGAAATATTTTCGATTTAGGGCACTTAATTCTTTTTATTAAGAAGTGTAAATTTTCTGCAGAAACTTTTTGTTGAAAAACCTTGTAAAACAACTTAGTCAGAAAATTTTCAATGGCCCTAGTTGCGCACTTGAGAGGGCATGTTTTTCTCAACAAGTTGGTGTGGTTTACAGCATGGCTGACTTGCAAAAAGCAGGCTTAATTGAAGGGGAGGGTTATAGCTAATTTGCACTGGTCAGCAGCAGTGCAGAGGAGGAGAGTGTGTGTGAGAATGACCTTGTGCTGTTGAGCTACAACAGCAAGTTGCCAAATAATAATGACTATGGCAGTCTGTGGGAGTAAGCTAGTAGCATGATGCTAGTTTATTGCAAAGTGATGCTAGGGAGTGTCACTTGACAACCACAAAGAGAGAAAGGTCTAGAGGAATAAAAAAAAGAGTGGGAAGAATAGGGGGAATGTTAAGAACTTCAGATACTGCTGTGTGGTGGGTTTTTTTTTCCATTTAATAAAAAAGCATAGTGTTACTCTGGGACTTGTTTTCTGCAGCAGCTGAACAAGCACATTGATGATAAATAACTAGGCAAGCAGGAGGCAAAAGGTTTAATCCTGCAGTATTTTCTCAGGCAAAAATCATACAGGATCACACCCAGGTAGCACAGATGGAGTCTTTCTGCTATGGAATGTATTTGAAGTTGAAAACATGTAAACATGCATGTGAAGTATCTGTATAGTGAATGTAGTGATGTATTATTTATTAGCTCCATTCAGATTTTTTTTTAAAGTGACATTTGGAATAAAACAGGATGACCTTTTATTAAAAGTTTCTTATCTAGATAAAGTGTAGCTTGTTTGGAGAACATCATACACAATTATCTATTCCCTTGAACTTCTGAAATGATGAATTTTAAGCAATGAATTTGGTGGCAATAGAGGATAAAGGAATGAATTAAGTGTTGGGTTTTTTTTCCCCTTCCTCTGTTGGATATAAAGCTGAGCAAAAGCAAAAAAAACCCCAAATTTCCTTCTTCTCTGTGATCCTTATTGTTCTGCCCCTGCTACATAATCTTGGAGAGATCAAATTATTCAGGCTTTAGTTTCAGTACTTTTTAAATGTGTTTTTTTTTTTTGGTTTTGTTTTTTTAATTTAAGCAAAAATGTAAACTACAGGAGATGTAGGATTTTGAATTATAATAAAGGATTTTCTTACAGGGAATTTCTTAGCAGTTCATTTCTGGAGGTTTAACCGCATTTATTTTACTCATTTGTGTATCTTCATAGCATTCTCTCTAAGATAAAATACTTTGGTCCTTGTTGGAAACTGATGCTTTCAGAAACAGTGACATTTAGACGCATTATTCCATTAAGATGGCTCAGACCCACCCTACAATGATAACCTCCACCTCTAACCATTGCAACAAAAGTCAGCAGGACATTTCCTTGTTCTTTTTTGACAGAGAAATAGTTATTTGCTGTGGTTATGAGTAAGCCGGAAATACTGGGAAGTCACTAGTAAACTGTATAAGACCCTAACTAGTCTTAACATGTTAAGATACTGCTGTCTGGATGGAGGATGCTATTAGTCTGAGTTTAACATTTGCACATGCAATGTGGCCTTCCTCCTCCCAGAACGATGTCATGCCAAAGCTTCAGGCAATTAATTACTAAATGATTACTGAAAAAGGAATATATTTGTTCTTGGCTGTTCCCGGTTGCCTTGGTTTAGAAAACTAAACTGAAAAGATTTCAAAAGTGTTTCAAAGGCTGGCCTGGTTCCAATCTGGATGACTGGGATGGATCACTTGATGAAGTGCCCTGTTCTGTTCACTCCCTCTGAAGCACCTGGCACTGGCCTCTGTCAGAAGACAGGATACTTGGCTAGATGGATCATTGGTCTGACCCAGTATAGTCATTCTTGTGTTCTTATTGTATACAAGTGCGGTTTTGATCCAAACTTTCTCCTTTGTTTCCCTGACAACCACTCCACACTGTTCTTAGCTCTAGCATCTGTTCCTGAGGAAAAACACCAGCACAGGTCCTAATTTAGCTCACTGAAGTCCACAAGAGTTTTGTCTTTGTATTGCCAATCCCAAGCACTCAAAAATGAAACTATAAAAATAGATAAAAGTTGAGGTTTTTTATTTGCCTTCTAGTTTCTGAGACTTTAGGATGCACTCTGGTCACATTTTCAAGCTTTTTTTCCACAACCAGGAGAGCTAGAAACTTTTATAAATGAATGTCAAGATTCTCATGCAAGCTCGTGAATCCAGCAGCTTGAGCTTAAAACAAAACACCAGATATTGAGACCCATGATACAATTGTGATATTAGGCAACACTGCAATGACTTCAATGCAAGCAACATTGGACCAATAGATGGAAGCAACCTGGAAGCAAATAGTTGTCCCTTTTATTTACAGCCAAACAGTTTTCACTTTGGTTGCTTGCAAGTGTATGAAAGCAGTGCCGGCATCTATCTCTGGGCCGAATTCCAAGCAGATGTGTATGTATATGATATGATAATTAGCGCAACTCACTCATTGTGTTGATGTAGTTTGTGTTGATATGAACTAGTTACCTTTTATAGCATGCCAGCAGGATCTATGCAGGGTAGGTGGAGCACAACATGTTTGTGTGGTTTAAAAATCTCTCCCCTCCAGTGTACTTTAGCATCATATAGACAAGCCCTGAATTTAAGTTAGTGTAATGAGGTTGAATTGACATTTCCCATGCCTCTGAATATGCCCCTCTTTCTCTAACCACATCTTTACCTATGCACTCTGAGGCCAGGAGTAAAATTTTCAAAAGTACCTAAAACCCATTATCAAAAGTAACTTGGGCACTAATGTGTCTGTCTCATTGGAAGTCAGTGGAACTTAGGCACTTTTGAAAACGGGATTTAGGGGTGTTTGAAAATTTTACCGTAGGCCTATAGTAGAAAACTTGCACTAGTGTCACTAAATTGATATAAAATCACTTAATTTGTACCAGTGCAAATCCATAAAATGAAGGTATTTCAGTTTAAATCACACTTAAACTGGTTCAGTGTGGTTTCAAAACCTGCTCCTAACAGAAGTGGTGGTCTTGAGAATGAAACCAATTTTTGTTTGCACTTAAACGTTTCCACAGAGTTTGCAATCCAAACATTATAGGGTTTATTTACGAAGTAAATATCCTTAAATCAAACTCTTAAGTTCTCCAGCAGCATTTTTCTTTGCCTATCTGTAAATTTCATTTTATTATTGATGGAAATTTTTTTTCATTGGGTTGTGTGTGTACAGTGAAATTGACATTTACTGGCATTTACCGATAAAAATCTCATCCTTACAAGCCTAGCTATAGGTTGTTGGTTGACCTCGGCCTTAGGAGTTCCTAGAGTGCTGGAAGATCTCCCACAAAATGGAAGCAGATGCCTGCCTTCCTTCCAAAAGTTTAAAAAAACAAAAAAACAAAAAACTTTAAGCACTGTAGAAAGTGTTATTGGACTTATCTTCCATCTAGCCCTACACCCCCACTCTCTGCCCAACTGCATGAGTGTGTGACTGACGATTGCAGATTCAGCCTAGATGAGCTGCAGTGATTTCCTTTGCTATGTCCTGTAAGAGGCAAGTGATGCTTTCAGTGCGTAAGTGATTTGTGGGCACACATGTATTTTATATATTCACTTATTTGTTGTTTTGTTCCAGAGATGGTGATGTTGCTGGAATGGTGGTCAGGCACTGATTGCACCCTCTACACTGACCCAGAGAGTTACCACAAGTACGGGAAAGAGAATGCCATCGTAATCCTTAATCACAACTATGAAATCGACTTTCTCTGTGGTTGGAACTTTTGTGAAAGATTTGGGGTTTTAGGGGTGAGTTCTGATTAGCATTTAAACCAATTAAATTTCACCTTTAACTTGTACCGAAAACATTCATATTTTAGTAAATAACCAGATCTGTGTCCAAATTTCATACAGCTCTTGTGCAGGCATTACTTGATCTTAGTGTTTTCCCCCTTCATCTTGCTGTCTTTCCTAGTTTGGAAAGATTTCCATAGGAGGAGAGAGTGACAGGGTTAGGAGTATCCAGAGAAAAAATGAATAAAAGGTGATATGATGAAGGTATACAGAAGAATGAATGAATGGTGCGGAGAGGGTCACTTGGGTATACCCAAAAAAGGCGCAGTTTTTAAACTGATAAAAGGAAATATTTTTAACGTAGAACTTAATCTGGGGAACTCGTTGCCACCATATTTCACTGAGCTCAACAATTCAGTAAGGTTTTAAAAAGATTAAACATTTTTATATGGTTAAAATATCCACAATTATTTCTACATGGGATATTAACCTTCATGATTCAGGACAGAAGCCAATTGCTTCAAGTACATCTTCACTGCAGAATTAACTTGGGTGGTCAGCACCTGGGTCTGGGTCAGCTTAGCTTTGCCTAGGTGTGAGCAGCGCCACTGCAAAGCCATTCTCAAGTTAGTGTCCTCACTGGTGCTGCACTCCCCTGTGTTTCACTAGGATTTCTGGTGGCATTCCCATGGTTCTCTGTGTTGGTGTAAACTGAGGTGCTCTACAATTATTTCCCAGTGAATTGTAGGAGATCTTGTCTGTCCTGAACACACAAGGGAATTGTAGGAAGACATTGGAGGACTAGCTACATTTGAGAGACTTAGCTTGCGTCCTCACTGCAAAGTGAGTGGGTTACCAGCATGAATGAAACCCTGACTCACTGTTTAGCCTACTGTCCAAGATGAGCCAGCTAGCCCAAACAGAAAACCTCTCCAAATTCAAAGAGGTTTGTTTGTTGTGGTGGGAGGGAGATTAAGGGCAACATCTGAGTCGGAAACTGAGTTAACTGCGATAAAGACGTATCCTAACTGCTAGGGGTTGGGAAGATAGCGTCCATCTCCCCCACCCTCTACCTCCCATAAGCATGTTACAGTAGTCCATTACGTTGATTTTTATATCCTCCTCTTAAGCATTTGCTACTGACCACTGTCAAAGCCTCTACACTAGAATGGACTAGTGTTGGTCAGACATTTCCTTTGTGCCGGAGTTTTGGAGATAGGGAATAACACTGTGAGGTGAGAGAATGTTCTGCGCCTCTGTAGTGCTTTACGGGCAACAGTGTAAATCTTGTAAAATTATGATAAAGGGACCTAATAATAAAAATGCCCTTGTCACGCTCAGAGGCACGAAAAAATGAGGAAAATTATTACCAAAACTCCTCAGGCTGTGCATTTTATTGAATCAGCTATAGGCTTCTTGCTGCTCTGGAAGGGTTTTTTATAACCTTTTCACCATGCTTGGGACTTGCTGAGTTCTCAAGGAAGGTAATGGATGTAAGAAACCATATAAGAAAACTGTCTCTCTCATAAATACACCAGGTGCTGTATACCTACGCACTAACCCTTTCTGCACTATTACTAACTCGTGACACTCAGAATGCAGACCTAAAAGAACCAAGAAACTTGTAGATGGATGCATTAAATTTGTATTCTTAGAGGAACATGGGACACAAAGAATTTCTTCCATAAAGCATTATTTGTGTTTGGAGAATGATTGATTAATTTGTATAGAACTAATATCTAAAGCCCAAACTCTCCACTCGATTACAGTGGTGCAGCGCTGCTGAATGGGATTGCACTAGTGTAACTAAGAAAATTTGCCCCAGGTTATGTTTTACAACTTCCCAAGGTAACCAGTTTTTCTGTTTAGTTTCAGTCTTGCCTCCTAGTGAAAGCCCATTACATTGTGTACAAGTCTCCAGCAGTTACTTTATACTTAAGGCCCTACCAAATTCATAGCCATGAAAAACGCATCACGGACCATGAAATCTGATCTTTTGTGTGCTTTTACCCTATACAATTCAGATTTCACGGGGAAGTCCAGTGTTTCTCAAATTAGGGGTCCTGACCCAAAAGTGAGTTGTGGGGGGGGTCAGAAGGTTATTTTAGGGGGGGTCGTGGTATTGCCACCCTTACTTCTGTGCTGCCTTCACACCTGGGCGGCCAGAGAGCGGTGACTGTGGCCGGGTGTCCAGCTCTGAAGGCAGCACCCTGCCAGTAGCAGCAAGGAAGTAAGGGTGGTAATTCATACCATGCCACCCTTACTTCTGTGCTGCTGCTGGTGGCGGCTCTGCCTTCAGAGCTGGGCTCCTGGACAGCAGTCACCGCCGTTCTCCGGCCACTCAACTCTGAAGGCAGCACAGCTGCAAGCAGCAGCGCAGAAGTAAGGGTAGCAGTACTGACATGCCCCCACAACTCCTTTTTGGCCAGGTCCCCTACAATTACAACACCATGAAATTTCAGATGTAAATATCTGAAATCATTACATTTACGATTTTTAAAATCCTATGACTGTGAAATTGACCAAAATGGACAGTGAATTTGGTAGGGCTCTATTTATATTGCACTAAATCAATGTTTTTTCTTATATTTGGCCTGGTTAATTTATTACTGAATGTTTGTATCTTTTTGCCTTTTTCTTTTTTGGGATGAATTTATTTTCCTTCCTCTCAGATTTTCAATCTTTGGGTGCTGCACTGTACAAAATACTTGCTCCATTGTTGCTGCTCATAACTCACAGGGCCCAAATCTTTGAGGTCCTGAGCGCTTTTAATTCCCATTCGTTTCGAAAATTTGTCAGGAAAAGACTTGCAATTCAGTATCAATGTGGGGGACTTCTGAGGGCGGAATGGAATCACACACATCACCTTCGACAGTTTCATTGGAAAGAGTATAGTAGAGGGCATGGACAGCATCAACAAAATTATTCTTAATTCTTTAAACTGCCATTTATAAAACATAACAAGATGGCACCCTGTGGGAATGGGGTGAAGAGAGGTAGTTGGGGATTTGGCAGTGAGCAACTGAAGAGGGAGGAGGGAAATGTCAGTTTTAAAATGCCTGCTTCCTTATTCTGCACCAAGGTGTCAAGTTGCAGTTTGTGGCCCTTTCAGACATTTTAAACCAGTTTCCTAGTGTAAAAGTTAAATTAGGAACAGGTCAATATTCTTTTTTTATTTTATTTTAAAGAAAGCTAATATTGGCCGCTGGGCAACAAGCATTCTGTAAGGCCATCTGGGCTTTTGAACTGCAAGGCGGTGGGCCTTGTATAATGCAGGGAACCTTAATTTGTTCTAACCTTTTATTTTTGTTTTTTTTAACAAATATATGCATAACAGCGAGATAAGGCGTTTCTACCCTTTTCTCTGTCTCATATTTTTTTAGGAACTACTTTTCAAAGTGGAAAGATATATTGCTGTTTATATATAATTAAAAAATGAAGGATCCATATTGATTGGGACTCAGGAGATCTGGGCTCTATTTCTGGCTCTGCCACTGGCCTGCTGGGTGACTTTGGGCAAGTCACTTCACTTCTCTGTGCCTCAGTTTCCTCCAGTTAAAATGGGGATATTGATATTGACCTCCATTGCCTAGTGCTTTGATAATCTACTCATGGGAAAGTACTGTATAATATGTGGTGATGGTAGTCTGAATGCTAGTTGACTATCTGTCTGCCTCAGCAAACATCACGTTCAGATTGGTGTAGGTTACCCACTGAGCAGTTCATAATATTGGCTGTAATATAAATAGATTTCTAAAGGGGGAAAAAAGTCATCATTTTATTGATCTTGATCATCTGGGAGGAAAATTCTTCGGTACAGAACCATAATTTTAAATTTAGTTTAATTTTCTTATTTAAAAAAAACAACAACCCTACGGAGTGCAGATGAGTCAGATAATTCTTCTTAGCTCTGGTTAATTGTTCCAAGTCTCTCCACATGGCAGTAAAAATGAAACATAAGGAAGTTACTTTTTGAACAGTTGTGATGACTTGCAAAGGCATTGAGCGTAATCCTAGACTCGGACGGGGGGATAGATACTTTATTGTGTTGTTGCCAAGTCACTGTCCAGTAGAGACCCGTGGCTAACATGAATGTTAATTGCTCATTCTTTGAGAGCACTCACTTTTTATTTATAAAAGCAAATGTAGGAAACAAAAGTGGGACTCATGCAGGCAGGTGTGTGCAAGTTTTGTCACTCAGTTCTGCTTGTGTGGGTGTGTAAAATATTATTGCAACATTAACTTTGAAGAATTACTAAATTCAGGAAAGTAAAGCCTTATAAATTAAGCGTACTTGAGGTTCTATGAGAACTGATGTGGGGGCTAAGGAAATACTCCCTCAACTCAATTCTAGTACCCTGAGATTGCTTTAGATTTGGGGAAATGGATTTGGGAGTGTTATGTTTTTGAAATATAGCAAACCAGATCATCAAAACATTTCACTGCAAATAATTTATCAGTCAGATTTAGCCTATTTGCTGCTAGCAGTTTACAGTTTCATGAAATTTATCTGAAGTTATGAAACAAATTGTTGGTGGCTCTTTAAGTGGTTTAGGTTTCTGTCAGTATGTGGTGTTCACGGTTCAAGCTGTGTTGGTTAGTTAGCTGGGACTGCACAGATAAGTAACGAGATTTTCTTTAAGTGGATAAGTACGCAAACACTTGCACAAATCTAAAATTCAGTTTCTGTGGTTACTCATATGTATATGTAGAACTGAAATTTGCTTTCTGCAGCCATTCATGCAAATGGAACTTGATCACACAGGTGTTTGTAACTGACCACACAAGTGCATACACAACCAAAGCTAATTCATTTCAGAGCTAGATTGAGTATATGAAGAAATATATCCTTTCTGTTATCATCCAGCTTTAATCCCAGCAGGCATCCTTATAGTCACATATGTGATTGTAATATAGTTCTGGAGCCTTAAAATCCCTCCTTTACTGCAGGAAGGCAATATCTTATGTGCAGTCACCCAGTGGTGGTCAATGGAATTTCTCGTGCAGGGAAGGTGAAATTTTAAGGCTAAAGGAGAGGATTAGTATGTTACAAAAAAACAGTTCATTAAAAGGAGAGCGAATGAGATAAAATAAATTCTGTGGATGCATGCTTCCCTCCGTTCTTCTGCATGTTATATGATATATGCACAGAGCAGGTTCTAGTTCTATATTCTGGAGGGAAAAGGAGATAATTTGTATATTACAAGTCTAATTTATTCCTCCCACAAGAGAACAGTCTTGCTAATGTAACTCATTGAAAAACTTCCTTCCTGTAGTTAGTTCTCTGTAATTAGAGACTTCCTTCTACACTTAATGCAGACTTCTGGCACAAAACAGCATAAGATGCTTTAGTTTCTCTTCATGTGCATCTGAGAGATTATCCACTCCAGTGCCAAAACAACTTTTGGGGGAAGCTGTTGGCAGAAGAAAACAAGAAACAAATCCAATATAGCATTGAATATCCACATACTGGATAGAATTAAGTGTTCAGATTGCCTCAGCATACATTACTTATCTCTAGCATAGGTAATGCCTTAAATACTTTTAAAACATCATATCAGCATGTCATTTTCTATTTAATCAAAAATGGGGGGGGAGAGTAGAGAATTTACCATTGCATGTAACTGTCAGAGTTTTTGCATATGCTAAGAAAGCATAATTAAACAGTAGTTGGTGACAAGAAATGGTTAGAACCTTTATTGTGCTTTGGAGGCATAACCTTTGTAGACTCAATTGCAGCCAGAAGGGATCATTAGATCATCTACTTTGACCTTTTGCATAGCACACAGAATTTCACCCAGTTACCCTTGTATTGAGCCCAATAATTGTCGTTGAAGCTGTGTTGCATGGCCTTATTGCAGGGCAATCTTACCTTTTCTTATAGTCTCTGCTTTTCAGTACAGTACACATTGACTATTACCCGTGCATTACAAGACAATAAGATTTCCCCCCCCCTCTTTTGGGCAACATGCTTGCTTACCTAATTCTGGCCTGGCTTTCTTTTTGCTTCCAGCTGCAATTCAAGGTGCTTGGCTTTGTTCTGTAAAGCTGTGTGGCTATTGGGAATACCACACCGTTCTCCCCCATCTTATGGCTGTGGCAGCTGAAGGTTAGCTGAATTAATGGTTCCTAGATTTAAATATCCGGGGTCAGGGTACTGTCAGGGAGGGATGTTAGCTGAAATTTTCTTCCTTTGCTGGATTTGTTGATCTTTTGGCACAGTGCGAGGCCCACTTCGAGCTTTTGCAGGGGGAACTGGGAGGCTTTAATATATTCATGAAATACAGCTGGCTGACTGCAGACACCTTGGCAATACCCCACAGGCATGCTATAAATGTGGATGTATAGTTCTATAACTGTTTAGTGTGAGGCAGTGCATAGCTTGTGACTGCTTATAATTAATGCATAATACAATACATCCCATTTCCTTACACTGCACTCTACTCACCCATGAGGTTTCTTTCCCATTTAATGCTGTGGTCCTTACACTTCTATAGCAACTGCTATCTGAGGATCCCAGAATGCTCCAAAAAGAACAAACTAACCCTTGCAACCTTCCCCGGACAGCACTGGATTGGAAACAAGAGGGGAAAGTATTGCTAAAGGGATAGAGTTCAGGTTGTGTAGTTGACATATGATCTTAACTGTGCGTTTTCTTTTAGACCATTTGTTTTTTGTAAGAACTGTAATGTTATATTAAAGAGACGCAAGCAACTTGAAAATCTGAAAATAGTTGTTATTAGAAGTAACCCCTGAATATACTATAATGAAAGACAAAAATATTTGTCTAATTTTTTCAGTTTGTTTACTGTAGTTGGTGCATTTGAGACCACTTAATGTATAGCAAGTTTCACTAGTTTGTTGATGTATATCCTTCCCAGGCTCTGCCACAGGGTGTTTACTAGAAAGCAAAGCAGAAACTAAAAAGGCATCAGGCCAGAGTGAGGGGAAAGGGAAAGGAGAAGGAAAGTGAAGTTAATCATGTTTGTTACTCTTGCACGCTCAGACCCATCTTAGAGACTGTTCTGAATGTTAGCAGAAAAACCCTTATTTTTTCTAAGAAATTAGTTTAGAAATCCCCACATTTAAAGGGTATCTACCAGAAAACTGAACTTAAAAAAAGAACATCCCTTTGAAGTTAAATATGTTAGGTCTGTCAAATGTTTACAACTGGGTTTTGTTTTGTTTTGTTTTGTTTTCCCCTTGGGGTGGGGTTAACATTCGTCCGGATTCTCCCGGACATGTCCGGCTTTTTTGAGTTAAAAATCGCGTCCGGGGGGAATTTGTAAATGTCCGGACTCCCCCAATGCAGAGCGCGCGCGGCTGACAGGGCAGCCGGCCGGATCCTGCCACTCGCACGGGGCTCTGACAGCCAGAACCCCTCCTCCGATTCCCCCTCCTCTCCCCTGCAGCTTGAAATCACTCCCCTGCTCTCTCTCCCTCCCTCCGCCTCCCTGCATTCGCAGATTGCCGGCCGACCATTCGCCTCGGGCCTCCGGCAGTCTGGAGCTCCACCCCCTGCTCCCCCTCCCCGACTGCCCAGCGCGCTGCTCCGCAGCACTCTGAGTGGCACGGTAAGGAGGCCAGGGGGTCAGAGAAGGGGCAGGGAGGTTCTGGAGGGGGCAGTCAAGTAGACAGGGAGCAGGGTTGGATGGATCGGGAGTTTGGGGGGGGGTCTGCCTGGGGGTGGGGGTGTGGATAAGGTTTTGGGCAGTCAGGGTAC